AAGAGATTCATTTCTCTTACCCACCTTTGGTGGAAGATTCTAATCTACCTTTGGTAGAAGAGTGTATCTTCAGATCCACAAGGACTTGTTGAGGATTACTCTTTTGAGTATATCTTGCTCTATCATTGAGGTGATAGAGAGATTTAGCAAACAAGTCAATCTTAAGAGATTCTGTATTGGATTATTCTATAAGGGTAATCAGATTTCTTAAAGATTATTATAAGATCTGTTGAGATCTCCTCTCCTTAACCTGTTTCATGGCTTCTGGTCAAGAGATGGATGCTACTAAGGAGGTGCCCGTTGCTGGCAATGAGGGAGATAATGCTGCTGCTGCTGCTGCTGACATTGATCTCAACCTTGAGGACTTTGTGGTTGACATGGAGATTAATGGAAGTGAAGCTGACCTTGAGGCTGATGCTGAAAATGAGGATGAGGCTGGCTCTGATGAGGGAAACGGGAAAAAACTAGTTTTGTAATGAAGCAGCTTGCTTTTGGATATTGGCGATTCTTCGCACGCACCTTCGCCACGTCATGCCCAAGAGTTTTCGAGGACATGAAGTCATGACTCATAACCCTTGGTCTTGTTCAGCGGGCATTGGTCCTTTCATTAGCAGCTTTTGCTGTGTCTGCCACGTCAACTTGCGTGGGTGTACCAATCTCACCATCCGAGTTACATCCGCTCCGATAGGTCAAGTACAGCAATGTTTGTGATATTGTACGACGCCGGAGGTACTCTCAACTGAATCTGTCTGCATAATTTTCGTACCATAGGGTACTCTTCTTTAGCAAATCACATCCCAAGGGTTCGACCACGACACTCTATGCTGACCCAATTGATACTCTGGTCTGTTGCCCAGTCTTCGTCCTAACCAGACTCGTCAGATAATTAAATTTTGGGCGAAACTATTTCTTGAAAACAGACTCGACGGGCTAAGCAATTCAGCGAGAAAAATAACAGTTGAAACTTTGAGAATTCGGTGTACACTGGCTGACTTTCAGTACACCCTAATGCTCACTCAACCGCCCACTCTGAACATGCTGCTCCCACTCCATATGCCCAGTGGTCGACATTCACAGCCAACGGCCCGCGCGTTACTAGCCCACGACAAAGCTAAGATATTCTTGACCTCGAATAGGTTAATCGAGTTCCCCAGACAAGACACGCTGGGCTACCCAGATACAGTCCCATTCCCCCCGAAGAGAGCGCATGCTCGAAAGAGGAGCACAGAGAAAGATAGGGAACAGGACTGAAATGGGAATCAGGTGTATCAGACCTCCCACCTATAGCCTTGCTTTTCAGGCACCCCGCGTCCTTCTGTAGCCTCACCCACACCAGTTGAGGCCATTGGATTTTTTTTCGATTGTACACCAGATGTCCGTTAGATACTCGCAACTTTACCCGTTGGGTGTTTAGTGAGTAACAACTATTTCGCTTGCTCGCCAACATTCGCCACGAGCAAAAGCGGGACTGTAGTGGGCAGGTGAAGAAATGTAACCAGCGTCTTCAAAATATATCACGAACGGACGGATGCCAGCGTGATAAGCTGTATGTTGAACGGCTACGATCAAAATATGGGCCTGTATCGTGCGTGCAACTGGCTGGTACCAAGTGCGATTGGGCAGGCTGTCAAAATTGGGCAGACCGAATTTGCGTGCAACAGCTGAGCATCCTGTGTATTTCCGTTTCTATTTTCACTGATGTGAGGTACAAAAAGGATGGAAGAAGGCTCAGTCGTGTTGTATTTTGGATGGACAGAGATGGACAGAAACGTTTTTACACACAAATATAGCATACAGTGTTGTTCCGACCAATGTTTGGTGGAATGTTTGAGTACAACATTCTGGTTTCCGGAAATGCTTGAAAATACATAGGGCAGTCTGCCCACAAGAAGGCCAATCACCGATTCACGTGCGCCGCGTCTGTTTTCTCCTCGCGCACCCCAGCCCTCCTGAGTCAGCCTGCTGCTCTGACAACATTGCGGACCTGTGTCGAGCTGGCGAAACCAAGCTGAATGCAATGCCCCACTCCCCTACTCATGCTTGAAATTCCATCCAGCATTGACAGCATCTGGCAACAGGTACCCCCGCTGTCTTCCCACGAAAAGTTGCTCAAACGGCCTATCCTTCCAGTTCTTAGCGCCGCGCCGCGACGTTTTTCACTAATCCGTTCAATTTCGTCAGCGAAGATATATTTCGAGCAAGTTCATCTTTGAGGTGCATCAATGTTCATGTCTCTAGAGCTACCACGGTACGAATATGAGAAATCCTTTCACTCCCAACATGAGACATCCCTTCAGTCCCGTCATTCCGCCAGGCGCCCGCAAGGCTACCACTTCCACACCACGTAGAAGGCCGCACCAAGTTGAGGATGAGATAAACCGCATGGATGCAACGTCCTCTGTAGTGCTGCTCCCGGATGGCTCTGTGCGACTCTACGACGCTCCCATCCTTGTCGCCGGCGACGTTCTACAAGAGTTTCCGCACCACAATATTTTCTGCTCGTCGCCAAGCGGAGGATTCGCGCCGCTCCATCCCCAATGTCGCTTGACCTCCGGGGAGACGTATCACCTCATGCAACGCAATAATCATATCGGCGCAACGACGGCGACGCACAAAAAAGACGAGAGCGACGCGGGTTCTTCGTGTTTCTTGATGTCATCGTCTCCGCCTCCTCGTCCTCCCCCAGTACCTCAACTCGTCGCTCGGAATGGGAGTCACCATCACGCCCACGACCACCCCGCGAGGTTCTGTGCGACCTCACCGCGAGTGTCGCTTGTCAAGTCGCAAGATGGCGGGACGTCGCTGAGCGACTCAGTGCGCGTGGGGTCGCCGAGGGATTATCTGCGCCACCCGTTTGATTCGGATGCGTATACCCCAAGCCTGAGCCCCAATGATAGTGTTACTACGTCGCCTACGCCCATCTCTGATGAAAGAAACATCGATTTATGGCATCCTCGTTATGGCGTCCAAGATCGGCGTCACGGCGATTTTCGCCATCACGGAATGGCCCGAACCAAGTCCATGTCACCCCAAACCCGGATGGGTTCGCCCCCAACCCCCTGCCGAACGCCAGGCTCTGGAGCGGCCATTCGAACCTTAGGTTCGGGCTCCTGGATCCAGCATCATCTTGAACCGGACTCGAGTAGCTCTTCGGCGGAATCTGTTTCACAAAGTGTTGATCCGGGCAGCACCGTTTGCAGTGTGACCAGGGAGCAGCAAGCTCACTTGGAAGGAGCCGGAGGCTGCCGTAGTAGTGGTCGGTCAATGAGACAGATGCGGCAAGACGCGCTGAACATTGAGTCTGCCGTGGCACACCTGGGGAGCTTGCGGGACCTTGACGTGGAGGCTTTCTGGGAAAGTGGGATGGAAACGGAACAAATGGAGGAGAGCAATGCAAGGGAACTGATGGGATGGAGTGACTAAATAAAGGGAACAGGGGCACGAGGACAGTATTCCATGGGCAGTGCAATAAGTGGCGGATCTTGAATGTGTCCGCCAAAATCTGTTTTCGGGATCCTCCTTGCCATCATTGCTAGTGTTGTTGATTTGGATGTGCGAAGGTGGTCGGCAGTGACGTGCTGCTGAGGGCCGTTGAGCACAGTTGAGAGGGGGATCATGCTCACTCTTTCAACACAGCAAGACTCGGCCTTGTACGGTGTAAAGCAACATCGCACTGGCTTAGTGCGGCGAAGCTGTTGTCTATCCGTGGATTTCACCTGTACATGCCTGTGATTATCGTTTCCATGTGGTGTGTATGTAGGCCCATGTCAGAGTCTATATTACGAGAACGGTGTGTTTATGATCGGACTTTTGAGTTGGGAGCGTATTATGAGAAGGTTTTGAAGGTTGTAATTTGGAAGGGTGGAAGAGAGGAAGAGTGTATGGAAAGAAAAAGGGAGGAATGGAGCAAGGGGAGGATGTGAGGTGCTAGGATGGATTGTTGGAGCAAGGAGCAAGGGTGGTAGGGAGGGAGGAGAGCAAGGGTGCAGAAACAACTTGGGGATGAGATGAGATGAAGGGAGGTGGGGACTACCCGACGAATGGAGCGATGGATGGATGAAAGAAAGGGATGAAGAAAAGAAGAGTTGGGGAGAAACAGGGAGGGGAGGGGAAGGGAGAAAGAGGGGAGGAGGAGCTGAATAGCACCCATAACATTACGGATTATATGCATTTTCTTAGTTCCTAGTTTTTTCTGAGCTCCTGGTGGAAACGGAAAACGGGATGAGGGCGACCAAAACCGCTTGCTTGTGGCTCGCGGATGGAGTGATGTGGTGCTGCTGTCTGATTCGTCCTTGCCGTGTTCCATCGTCGAATTGTCATAATTTCGTTAATAGTGTCTCCGATATACAGCTCAGGCCAGGAGACCCTTCTTGCTAGCTTGGAGTTCGTGATTCCAAACTAAGATGCAATTGAAGGTGCACACATCCCCCAACAACCCCGCTCCCTACGCAGCTTCTACGCATTTATCCATCCTCTCCTCAGCCTTCTCCCCTTCCTCCAAGCCAAGCCTATCAACGTTCATAATGGTCTGATCAACCCGGCTATGTTCGGATTTTCCGGTGCTTCGCCTCGCGATGGTTTAATTGGCGTCTGAGTGCGATAATATTATGGGGAATTACCCGTTGGGGTCACGTGTTACTGGCCCGAATGGGGACTAGGCACTGGTAGATCAGACTGACTTGGAGCTGAGCCAATCGCCATTTCTCGGTACCACCTATTTTTGTTCTAGTGTTAAGTTTCTCTTCGACCTCCGCTTTTTTCGGGTCCGTTACGAGAAGATAATGTGCTCTACTTAACCACTCAGAATTACCCAGCATTCGCTATAAGCTCCGTCCACACCATTGGTCAGAGTCATGGCACGGCGATCAGAGAGTTCCGCGATTCGCGCGATCCCCTTCTTAATTCTTTGCCTTATCTTCGAGGTGCCGGCACGTTGCGCGTCGGAACCGATTGATCCAAGCAGCCACTCCGTTGGAGGAGAGTCCGGCTTCGAGCACGTCATGTCACTATATCGAGTCAGTGCCAACCCTCGTCACTGTATCGAGTAGATTTCACCTCTCGTCAGTCAATTAGCTGCGCCGTTTTCTTCATCCAGCGTCTTCGCGAAAATTTCCCGTGTTACTCTATCTGCGCTACTCGATCGTGCGATCCCCTGCTATTTCCGCTGTCTGCTCTGTCTGCGCCATTTGCGCTACTTGCGTTGCGATAATTGCTTGGAGCCCATTGCAGAAAATCTGGAGTTCGGTGTCTGTTCCCGGTGTTACTGCGTAACTGGTCTAAGATTGCGGATATCTCTCTAGCCTGATTCAACTTACGGAGTTTCGACTTCGCTCATTCTACTCGCAGTCTCACTCCATCCTCTCTCACTCACCCTCTCCACGTTTTACTCTCCCTCTCCATCCTCACCCCATCCCTCCACCTCGTCTCAACCCCCCCTCCATTCCCGCCCACTTCTTTTTTCCTCTCCCCGCAACTCTCCCTTCCTCCTCTTCTTTCCTCCTGTCCTATCCTTTCCTCCTCTCCTCCTCTCCGTTCCTCCTCTCTTCAACCAGGTATGGGAGTCGATCTACGGCTTGCACGAGGACAACCAACTTCCCCCCGCCAACATCTCCCTTCCGCCCAACGTGCCCCCCGCGCCGCATCTCGAGGACTGCTCTGCGCGCACGGCGTTCCGCCTGGCGGCGGAGCAGCGCGGGGCGAACGGGGAGCCGCCGGAATGGGCGCGCCCGCCCAAGTGCTGCGGATGCAACCCGCAACCCCCGTGGGTGAGACTGAACCGCGGGTGTGACGGGCGCGGGTGAGATGTGAGCGCGGGTGCGGAAGGAGCATGAGCGGGCAAGCAGTGGGGAGGGGCGCAAGCAGCGGGGGGGGGCAAGCAGTGGGGAGGGGCGCAAGCAGCGGGGGGGGACAAGCAGTGGGGTGGGGAGGGGCGCAAGCAGCGGGGGGGGGGGGGGGGGGGGGGGGGGGGGGGGGGGGGGGGGGGGGCAAGCAGTGGGGAGGGGCGCAAGCACCTGTTTCCCGCTCCTTGACATTTACTGCCCATCACATCACAGCGTCTCGCTCTTCTCATCTACCGCGTCTACCGCCCCCGTCCACTCCGACAGCCAGCCCTCACCCACCCCTCAACCAACCCTCACCCACCCTCTCGCCCTCCCCCTCTTTGTTTCGCCACTTGGCGTCCTGCTCCTCTTGTCAGACGTCGCTTCTCTCTTTACAGTGTCATGTTGTTTGTTGAAAGAGCTTCATCATGCACTACACACTCTGTGATTTCCCTCCCTCCCTCCCTCCCTCCCTCCCTCCCTCCCTCCCTCCCTCCCTCCCTCTACCCCTTCCTCCCTCCCGTCCCCCCGCCCGCCCGCCCTTGATTGTGCATCGTGTCTTCTTACACATCTCAGGCTACTCCCATGCACGTGCCTTGCTTGCTGTGCTTGCTCTCCCAAAACAGCTCATCTCATCTCCTCCCAAACTGCGTCGTTCTGATACAATTGCTCCCTCTCATCCTTCTCCGCATTAAAACACTTCCAGCAAAGTCAACCTCCTCTCTGTACACACCTACTCTGCTTTCTTCTAATCCTGTAGCCACATCGCAGCGTTGGTGGGGCAATTCACGTGCCACCCCATCACCTCTCTCCCCTCCTTTTCTCTCTCCTCCCACCCCTTCCTCCCCTTCCCTCCCCCTCCCCTTCCGCGTCCTCCTCTCCTCCCCCTCCCCTTCCCCCTCTTTCCCCCCGTTCCATTCCCCCTCCACCCCCTACTCTCCCTCCCGCGCCCGAACCACCCCCATACCTTCCAAACCTACCAGGTGCGGGGAGCGGACGACGAGAACCTAGCGATGACGCGGCGGGTGCAGAAGGAGATCTGGGAGAACCAGTTTCCAGCGGAGCGCAAGTGCGCGGGCAGGAAGCTGCTGGTGGTGCAGTGGGCGCCGCAGAACCACCACGGCGTGGGGTCGCAGGTGCATGTGATGGGCGCGTTCCTGAGCATCGCCATGCAGTTCAACCGCACGCTCGTCGCCATCCCGGGCTCGTATGGCCGCGCGGAGGAGGCTGGCTGTAAAGGTAAGAAGGACGGAGGGAGGATGGGAGGATGGGAGGGGGGGGGAGGCGGGAGCGGCTGCGTGTGGGTGGTTGGGGGAGTGAGGGGGTGGTGGTGGGGGGAAGCTGTGAAAGGGGGGGCGATGAAAGGGAGGAATGGGTGTGGTGGTTGTTGTGAGTACTGTCATGGCATGAACGGGAGGGAGGCGTATGAGGGGTTGAAAGAGGCTGGGTGTTAAGGTGAGGAGGGAGGGACTGACTGACTGAGTAAGACTGGCTGATCAATTGACTGACTGACTGATTGGCTGACTGACTGACTGGCTGACTGGCTGACTGACTGACTGACTGACTGGCTGACTGGCTGACTGACTGGCTGACTGACTGACTGGCTGACTGACTGGCTGACTGACTGACTGGCTGACTGACTGGCTGACTGACTGGCTGACTGACTGACTTGCTGACTGACTGACTTGCTGACTGACTGTCTGACACTGACAGGTTACCTTGACTGACTGAGTGAGTGACTGGCTGACTCACTCACTCTCTCAAATGCCCTCTCATGCCACCCTCTCCACTCTCCCTGTCTTGCCCATGTGTGTTCATGCGTGACTTGCCCTCCACCCAACGTGCACAACATATCAAACCCCTCCCCCCATACCCTCCCCCCACACCCTCTCCTGCGCGCCCATGCATGCGCGTGCATACGTCACATCGTCCTCTGCAGCTATACGGCTGCACGCAACTCTAGCAACATCGCAAAAACACTCCCATACCTTCCCCACACTCCCTTCCCCCCCTTTTCCACCAGCCCATGCATAGACATGAGCAAATGGCGAACACGAACGTGTTTGCCATGACATGAACCTCAACGAACACCACAGGTTGGCGAACCGAACCCGTTCGGTTTGCCACGAACCAAATTCCTGAAATAGGCGTTCACGTGTTCGTGGTCACAGGCGAACACTTACGGTTTGCCACGAACCAAATTCCTGAAATAGGCGTTCGCGTGTTCGTGGTCCCAGGCGAACACTTACGGTTTGCCACGAACCAAATTCCTGAAATAGGCGTTCGCGTGTTCGTGGTCCCAGGCGAACACTTACGGTTTGCCACGAACCAAATTCCTGAAATAGGCGTTCGCGTGTTCGTGGTCCCAGGCGAACACTTACGGTTTGCCACGAACCAAATTCCTGAAATAGGCGTTCGCGTGTTCGTGGTCCCAGGCGAACACTTACGGTTTGCCACGAACCAAATTCCTGAAATAGGCGTTCGCGTGTTCGTGGTCCCAGGCGAACACTTACGGTTTGCCACGAACCAAATTCCTGAAATAGGCGTTCGCGTGTTCGTGGTCCCAGGCGAACACTTACGGTTTGCCACGAACCAAATTCCTGAAATAGGCGTTCGCGTGTTCGTGGTCCCAGGCGAACACTTACGGTTTGCCACGAACCAAATTCCTGAAATAGGCGTTCGCGTGTTCGTGGTCCCAGGCGAACACTTACGGTTTGCCACGAACCAAATTCCTGAAATAGGCGTTCGCGTGTTCGTGGTCCCAGGCGAACACTTACGGTTTGCCACGAACCAAATTCCTGAAATAGGCGTTCGCGTGTTCGTGGTCCCAGGCGAACACTTACGGTTTGCCACGAACCAAATTCCTGAAATAGGCGTTCGCGTGTTCGTGGTCCCAGGCGAACACTTACGGTTTGCCACGAACCAAATTCCTGAAATAGGCGTTCGCGTGTTCGTGGTCCCAGGCGAACACTTACGGTTTGCCACGAACCAAATTCCTGAAATAGGCGTTCGCGTGTTCGTGGTCCCAGGCGAACACTTACGGTTTGCCACGAACCAAATTCCTGAAATAGGCGTTCGCGTGTTCGTGGTCCCAGGCGAACACTTACGGTTTGCCACGAACCAAATTCCTGAAATAGGCGTTCGCGTGTTCGTGATCCCAGGCGAACACTTACGGTTTGCCACGAACCAAATTCCTGAAATAGGCGTTCGCGTGTTCGTGGTCCCAGGCGAACACTTACGGTTTGCCACGAACCAAATTCCTGAAATAGGCGTTCGCGTGTTCGTGGTCCCAGGCGAACACTTACGGTTTGCCACGAACCAAATTCCTGAAATAGGCGTTCGCGTGTTCGTGGTCCCAGGCGAACACTTACGGTTTGCCACGAACCTCTTTAGACGTTTGAGGCGAACTCGAACCTGTTCGGGTTTGGGTGCCATCCTAAACCGCCGAAACGAGGGCGAAACGAAGTTAAACTCCCTAATGGCTTAGAGTAGGCACTATTTAAGGATAGTATAGTGGCTGTTCGCCAAAATCGAACCATCTCACTTAAAAACGCCTGAAAAATGTCGACCACAAACGCATTTCCTTGGTAACTAACTACCCTAAACTGAAATGCTCTAATTCATGTGTTTCTAGGGCGGCTGTGTGTAGGGAGGGAATAACAATATTGGATCTGCTCATTTAAGCTCGATTTGAGCTCAAATGACGAGTTGGTTCACTACATACCCGTAGGGTTTGCAGCAAACCTGTTTTAAGGGGGAACGCGTTTGCGTTCACCCCATGTCCCACACACGCCCCGAACATCACGAACGCCCCGAACATCACGAACGCCCCGAACATCACGAACGCCCCAAACATCACGAACGCCCCGAACATCACGAACGCCCCGAACATCACGAACGCCCCGAACATCACGAACGCGCTTGTGACGAACTGGGGGTGTTTGTCATGAATGTTTTTGGGGAAAAATAACCCCCCGTTCGGTTTGTCACGAACGCGTTTGTGACGAACCGAACAGGGGTTCGCGATTTTTCTCAAGCCTACCCATGCATGCATCACCTCGGCTCGGCCTGTGCAGTCGCAGGGCAGTAGGGCGAGTGGGAGTGCTTCTTTTTCTCATTCGCGGACCCCGCGTGCCAGCAGATCGCGCGCGGCACGAAGGATAGCAAGGCGCTCCAGTGCAAGTTGATGCCTGAGAATCTTTAATAGCCAACTCGCCCTGCCCCTCTCCTCCCCCCCCCCCCCCCCCCCCCCCCCCCCCCACATCCCCCGCCCATGCATTCACATACCCGCATCATCTCGTGAGCAGCTGCGGGGCAGTACGGCGAGTGGGAGTGCTTCTTCTTCTCCTTCGCGGACCCCGCGTGCCAGCAGATCGTGCGCGAGATGAAGGACAGCAAGGCGCTCCAGTGCTCGCAGTCCTTTGCCTCACAGGTGGCGGGGTCGTCAGACGTGGTCGCCTGCCTGGATTACATGCCGTATGGGGATCTCGAGATGAAGGCCAATATCACATGGTGGGTTCATGAGTCGACTCAAATTTGTTGACTCAAATCAAAAGTCAATATCACATGGTGGGTTCATGAGTCGACTCGAAGTTCCCCTCGGCTTGGTCGCCACACGTGGTTCCCTTGCCTGCCTGGATTACATGCCTTACGATGACCTCGAGATGAAGGCCACTATCACATGGTGGGATCAGGTTGAGCTTGGTTGGGGTATTTGGAGTGGGTTGGGCTGGGTTGGATTGGGTTGGGTTGGGTTGGGTTGGGGTGGGTTACGCAGGGCTGTTGTGAACTGGGCTGGGCCTCTCCCCTCTCCCCTCTCGCCTCTCCGCTCCCCCCTTTCCCGTTCCCCGCTTCGCTTCCCCACTCTCCTCTCCATTTTCGCTTTTCCCTTTTCCCTTCTCCCTTTCTCGTGACTCCCGATCCCCTCTCCCCTCTTCTTTCCCCCCTCCCTTCTCCCTTCGCCTCTCCCCCTAATTCGCTCTTCCCTCCATTCTCCCCCTCTCTCCTCTCCCATCCATCCCTCTCCTCTCCCCCTTTCCTCTTGCTCCTCCCCCGCTGCCCACGCATTGATTTCTTGGCGTGGCAGGCGATGGGGAGGGGCGCAATGGCAACAGCCGGACACGGTGTGGCATGTCCCGGGCACAGAGTCGCACAAGGCACACACAATGCAGGTACGCAGTTTTGAAAAGTACCAGCATTGACTTTTGAGTCGACTCATAAGTCACCTCATGGCAACAGCCAGACACGGTGTGGCATGTTCCAGGCACAGAGTCGCACAAGGCTCACACAATGCAGGTACGCACTTCCGAAAAGTCCCAAAATGCAGGTGCCCTTGGCATGTGTTTCAACTGCGAGTTTCGGGACGTCTCAAAGCACCTGCAACAGCCGGGCTCTGTGTGGCATGGCATGGCATGTCCACTCCTTAGCATAGAGTGGCAGAAGGGACCCGCACTGCAGGTGTGTATGCAGTGGCATGTGGTGGTGTGATGCTGTGTGGGTGCTGGCATACTGTCATGGTGCATGTGGTGTGGGCAGTGAGAGACTGGATGGCTGGCTGCAGCACAGGTCAACTAGTCGTACAAGCACAAGGTAAACCTCGGAGTTCACTGTGCGTGAATCTCCCTTGGAACAGCACCCTGTCCCCTGCAAGCACGTCTCATAACCACATCCTCGTTTAGCGGCTCCTCACAGTGAAAAGCCAGCAACCAGGCTGGATGGTTGGTTGGGCGGATGAAGGAGGGAGGGAGAAGCTGAGCTCATTCCTGTTGCTGGTTATACCCCCGGTTTCCCCCTTCTCGTCTCTCACACGTGCTCTGCATCCCAGGTGGCAAGCCCAAACCATGCACTGTGACCTCAGAGAGTCATGCCGAATCCATTCCCCTTCTTCCTCTGGGGCCTTCCCTCCTCTCATCTGCTTTGCATCCCCCCCCTCCTCTCCCCTCTCCCACCCCCTTCCCGCTTAAGGTCCACTGGTGGCGAGCGCAGGCCACGCGCTTCATGCTGCGCTGGCCCTCGGCGTACCTCTGCCACGTGACCAACCGCGTGCGCCACTCCTCCTACGGCCACCGCGTGGCGGCCCGCCTCGCCCGCTTCGATGTCACACGGGCAGAGATCCTCCGGGAACTCGCAGGGGACACGGCCGGCGATGCAGCCCGCAGCAACATCAAACTGTCCCCGCAGGCCACAGCCGCTGCTGCCGTGCCATTCCGGGAAGGGTCGTTTAAACAGTCCCAGGGGTTGTTTCCCTGGGCGCACGGCGCGTGCAGCAAGGACGCGTGCGGCGGCGGCGGGGAGAGGGAGAAGCGGGCGGTGTACCTGAGGGAGATGTTTGAAGGGGTGGGCGGGGAACCGTATGTGATGAGTCCGATTGTGAGCCTGCATGTGCGGCAGAGTGACAAGGTGGAGGAGATGCAGCTCATGCCGCTCAGCTTGTATATCTTCTATTTGAACCGGCTGCGGCTCATTCGTGCGGATCTGTCTTATGTGTGGCTTAACACCGAGTCTCAGGTGCGTGGGTGGGTGGGTGGGTGGGTGAGGGTTGGGATGCACGAGTGTGTGGAGTGTGTGGGTTGCGGCTTGTTGATTGCTAGGGCTGGTTCCTGAAGATTTGTGCATGTCGGCGTGTGCTGTTCAATATGTGTGAATTGCCATGCATTTGCTTTTTCGATGATAGTCTTTGATAGTGTATTCTATCCCTTTTTATCATTTGAATTTTGGTGCAGGCTGTGATTGATGGAATCGCCAAGTACAAGGACTGGACGTTTATATACTCCAAGAATGCCCGGCAAGATTCATCCACCAAAGACACACGGCAATATGATGACGCACAATCTGTGGCTATAAGCTTTGCGAGTGTACTAATATCTGCGCAAAGTGACTACTTCATTGGGACCCTTGGGTCCAACTGGAGTAGATTGATGAATGAGCTTCGTTCTACAAGCGGACGTCTATTTTATCCCTTCATTGCCATGAATGATGGAGACTGGTGACATTTATTATTGGCTTGTAGAATGTTTCTTCATTGGCTGGTGCTTTGTTAGTAGTCAAATAGCGGTCATTTGAGACTGAACGGTAGTACGGTATTAGACATAATATGAGAAATATACAGTGAGCCATGCGAATATCTACAGTTTGCCTCCCTTGACAGAGTTCTCATTTGTACCTGACCAGAAAGCGATAGTCATCCCCCAACCAATCACACCGAGCAGACACCTCATAGGCTTCTCCAGGCCCGAACTTTGTTACAGAGTATCCAGCTCTCGTCACCACCCGGTCGCCACAATTCGGAAACAGACCAGCCAGATCACCCACCCCGCATACGATCACCACCAGAACGCATCAGACCACACAACTAGCAGCGCACCGTCGTCACCCGCATTTTGCGCTTCACTCAAAATCCGCAGGAAATTATCCCCCCTCGACATTTCTTCCCAGCTTATCTCGCGATCGATCGGCTCGCTCCCTCGGGCAGTAATTTGTTATTTTTTCTATTAGACCGCGTTTCAATATGTTGTGGCGGCGGCAGCGGTTGCTAGACTGTATTCCGTGACCAGTCTTCTTTACCTGATCAGCAGCTTCGCGAAATGGGTGAGGGCTCCTCGCATTTCGCCAGCTCGTCGTATTTCTCAACGAAGAACTTGTCAGATTGCTCTATCCGCTCTCGTCGTCGGCTTCTTCCGTCTCGCTTCGCCACTCCTGCGACCCATTCTCGCGTCGACTCCACCAATACCCTTCAGCCATCTGTCACCATGTCTTTGAATTCATCATCTCATCCCTCATCGCGCCATCGGTGTCATTACCAACAAAGATCTCGATCCCGCGAGCCGCATCGGCGGAGAAGCGCCCTCCACGCGGTCCCGGAACACGTGTCACTTGCCACGTGGGCCGTTTTGTGCTGCGTCGCCGTGTCGCCGTTGATCGCGGAGATCACGGCGAGCAGTGGCGGCGCGATGCGCCACGTCAGCAGCGATCGAGTGGCCTTGGAACGCGCCAAAAAACTCTTCGAGGTATCATTTTGTATTCGTGCAGCGATACCCTGTCAAGCAATCGCGATTAATTTCCACTCTTTTAGGACCCCCCTCCGTTGTGCTTACCAGCACCGCTTATCACCGCACTCCACCTCAACCTGGCCTGCTTGACCATCCTGCCTGCTCGACAAATATTAGTCATTGTCAAGGTTTGGCCGTGGTTTCACTGTGCTGATACCAAACATGCCACCTGATACGCATAACCTGATTGAATGTATCGAATAAATTCCCCTCCCTCTGTACGTCTGTCTCCCCTTCTTCCCCTGACCCCACCCCCTCCCACCCGCTCCCCTCTATCTCCCCCCTCTCTCTCCCTTCCCCTGCGCCCATTCCATTCCCGGGCCCCCTTCCCCCACGTCCAGGATTGGGAGACCGCCTATGGGCTCGCCAACGGCTCGCTATCCCCGCCCGCCGCGCTCGCCTTCCCCCCGGGCGTGCCCCCCGCGCCCCACCTGGAGGACTGCGGCGCGCGCACGGCTGCGCGCGCTCGCGCGGAGGCTAGGGGGCCAAACGGGGAGGCGCCCGCGTGGGCGCGCGCGGGGGAGTGCTGCCAGTGCAGCGCCGCCGTTCCCCCCGCCAACTGCACCCCGCAAACGCCTTGGGTAGGGCTTTGGGGGGAAGTGGGGAGGGGGGGAGGGTGGGGAAGGGTGGAAGTGAGGGGGTTGGGGGTGCGGCAGGTGGGGTGTTGGTCAGGTTGAGGGAGTTGAGAGAGAAAGAGGGGGAATTTGAATATAGACACGATAGGGTGCTCACTGTTGTTCTCCCACCCCATTCATCGTCCCCTCCCCTCTTCCCTCCCCTTGTTCGCTCTCCCTTCTCCCCCTCCTCTTCCCACTCCTCTCCCCCCTCCCCTTCCCCCCTCCTCTCTCCCCTCCCCTTCCCCCCTCCTCTCCCCGCGCCCTTTCCCCCCACTCCTCCCTCCTCCTCCTCCCCCCACTCCTCCGCCGCCCCGTCCCCCCTCCTCTCCCCAGATCCGCGGGCCAGACGCAGCAAACCTCGGCCAGACGCGCACAGCACAGCGGGACCTATGGGCAAACCAGTTCCCCGCGCCGCCGGACTGCAGCGGGCGGCGACTGGTGGTGACGGTGTGGGCGACGCGGCAGCACGGGCTGGGGTCGCAGCTGCACATCATGTCGTCGTTCCTCAGCCTCGCTGTGCGCTTCAACCGCACGCTTGTTATCAAACCGGAGACGTTCAATCGCGCCACTCACGCCTGTAGAGGTGCGCGCAGGCAGGGGGACTGGCGGAGTGAATGGGGGATGTGGGAGGGAGCGGGGTGAAAAGAGGGAGTTGTCGAACCAGAGACGTTCAACCGCGCCACTCAGACGTGTAGAGGTGCGTGCAGGCAGGGGGGAAGCTTCCATTGGGGCTTGCAGGCCTGGGGGGGGAATACGTGCTGCTGAGCAGTGCTGCAAAAGAGGACGAGGGGACATGGGGAACAAGAAAGGGGCGGGGGGGGGGGGAGGGGGGAGGGAAGGAAAAGGGCTGTGCGGGCTTTTGAGACACCTGAAACGCCGCATCCCTGTGGTGAAGCGAGAGAGTGCAGATTGATTGGCCAACTAAGGCCTGCCGAGGTAAGCCTTAGTCTTTGTATGGTGAAGTCAGGGGGTGCACTACAGAAAGGCTTTGTTTCTTGGAAGCTCTGGTCTCCTGTTTCACAGTGCAACCATCCACCCATCCATCCATCCATCCACCCATCCATCCATCCATCCATCCATCCATCCATCCATCCATCCATCCATCCATCCATCCATCCATCCATCCATCCATCCATCCATCCATCCATCCATCCATCCATCCATGGATGGTGAACAGCGACGGCACGAGCATGGGGAAGAGCGAACAGGCGCCTCTCTCTCCTTTTTCAACACCCCAATTTGTCCTCCTCCTTCCTTCGTTTCCCCTCCTTCACCTCCCCTTCCCCTGCTGTCCCCACTCTTTTCCGTCCCCCCCCCCCCTAACCTCTCTCCCGTCCCTTCCCCCTTCCCCCTTCCCCCTTCCCCCCTCCCTCCCCCAGACCTCGGCCAGGGCAACAACCTAGAGTGCTAGCTACTTCTTCCCACGAGGCTCCCACTCTTTTCCATCCCTCTCCCTTCCCTCTCCACCCCCCTTTCCCCCTCCTTCCCCAGATCTGGGCCAGGGCAACAACTTAGCGTGATACTTCTTCCCCTCACTCCCCTCCCCGCTCTTACCTCCCTCCCCTTCCCTCCCCGTCCCCCACCCCTCGCCCCCCCTCAGACCTGGGCCAGGGCAACAACCTAGAGTGCTACTTCTTCCCGCTAGGCCCCCACTCTTTTCCGTCCCTCTCCCTTCCCTCTCCAACCCCCTTTCCCCCCTCCCCCCCCCCAGACCTGGGCCTGGGCAACAACCTAGACTGCTATATCTTATCCTCACTCCCCTCCCCGCTCTTTCCCTTTCCCCCCGCTCCCCTCTCCCCTCCCTTCCCCCTTCCCCCCTCCCTCCCCCAGACCTGGGCCTAGGCAACAACCTAGAGTGCTACTTCTTTCCCCTAGGCGCCCCCGCGTGTTTGCAGGTGGCACTGGCAGCGGAGGCGAAGGGGGAGGTGGTGAACAGCGATGGTGTGGCGATGGAGGAGAGGGAGCGGATCCTGGGGTCGGATGCGGTGGTAGTGCAGGTGGCCAATACGGGGCTGTTCGGTGAAGTGAGCGCCACCGAGTGAGTGAGTGGGTGGGGGGGGGGGGAGGGAGGAGGGCGGGCTGGGAGGGATGACTTTTGAGTCGACTCAAAAGTGTGGGGTGGGAGGGAGAGTGGGTGGGGGGAGGGAGCGGATTCTGCGGTCGGATGCGCTGGTAGTGCAGGTGGCCAATACAGGCCTGTTTGGTGAAGTGAGCGCTACCGAGTGAGTGAGTGGGCTCGGAGGGAGAGGGAGAGGGAGAGGTGAGGGAGAGCAGGGGAGGGGGTAGTGTTTCTTAGCATTCTTAGAAAGCAGGGAGCGACGAGATAGAAGGTGCAAGGGAGGGAGGGTCATGGGAATGAGAGAGGCGGTGGGCAGGGGGAGTGGGAGCAGACGCAGGGTTTGGAAACATTTGTGGTTGAGGTGAGCCAATACGGGGCTGCTGTTTTGAAGGGACGCGTGTATGGGAAGGTTACATGAGTGGTTGGGGAAGGCGTGCGGTGAGAAAGGTGTGGAAGGAAGGAGGAGGCGAGTGAGGGAGGGAGGGACAGAGTGTGTGTGTGGAAAGGGGAGGGATGGGTAGGGGAAGAGGGAGTGGGGGATGTGGGAGTTGTGTGTGTTGGAAGAGATGGGTGGAGCGGGGGTGCATGTTTTCTCATTCTCCATTTTTTCCTGTTTCTTTGGCCGCGCATGTTCCTACAGTTCTCCTGTGTGCATGCACGCATAAATTTCTGTATCGTCATCCTCGTTCCCTGTGCCATGGCTCCCTCATCCTCTCACCCACCCTTGCAGCCTGTGGGGTGCACCGTCCCTTGACCGGCCACTCACAATACAGCAGCTGGGGAGGATACAGGGCCAGTACTTTGCATGGGGGCAGGTGCGTTTCCCCTGGCTCTTCCCCTATCCCACCTTCCCTTCCATTTTCAACTATGTTTTCATTGTCGTTTCCATCGCCTCACAACTCACCCTCTTCTGGGGAAGGCGCAAGGCCAGGACCACTTTAATTGACACAGGTCCGTTTCAAATCTAGTCATTTCAGCACAGGTCTGCTGCTGTGCGTGCGTGGCACTCCTGCTGCCGTGTCACTCTGCTGTTGCCACAAGTGCTGTGCTGTGCTGTGCTGTGCTGTGCTGTGCTGTGCTGTGCTGTGCTGTGCTGTGCTGTGCTGTGCTGTGCTGTGCTGGGCTCCTTCTTGTTGCTCTTGCCTCCCAGGAGGAGGATATAGTCTTGTTTCATTCTCCCTCCTCTTTCCTTCAGTCCCTGCTCATTGCCTCGTCTCAAGACTCAATCCCAACCCGCCGTCCGATTCATCCCCACACGCAAGAACGACCCATTCTTTTCGTTTTTTCATTCGCTTCAGGTCCTCGTGACGTCTTGCTCCTCTTCCCTCAACCACCCCCCACCCTCATCCCCTCACCCTCCCTCTCCCCTCCCCTCACCCTCCCCCTCCCATCATCCCCTCCCCTCATGCCCTCGCCCAACCCCACCCCCACTCCCACCTCTTCCAACCCCACCTGCTCACCCTCCCTCTCCTCTCCCCTCATCCCCTCGCCCACCCCCACCCCCTCCTCCTCCCCGTCCCCTTCGCAGCCAGAGACAGCTATTCCACACTCCCACTCCCTTCCCCCTCCCAGTGCCCCACATTATAGAAAGCTGTTTTTGAGCCGCCTCGGAATGAGACAGCTATTCCATGTCATAGTATTCGCGTGTAGAGAGATAACTTTGACGCGCCTCACAAGTTGTTCCGCAATACCAAACCGCATCCCTCCGCATGTGATGAGTCGATTTTTGAGAACTTTGACGCGCCTCAGAAGTTTTTCCACAATATCAAACCGCAACCCTCCTTTCTTCCCCTTTCTCTCGGCAGGCGCGCTGGTGGTGTCCGTGTCCCCAGGCCGTCTGCTTCATGCTGGTTTCTGAGAATTCTCACAAACCAGGTGGTGTCCGTGTCCCCAGGCCCTCTGCTTCATGCTGCGCTGGCCCTCCACTGTCCCGCTCGAGCCACAGGCAGCTGCAATCTCACAAAAAACGAAGTTTCAAGCCTCCTTTCGCCCCTTTCCCCCCTTTCCCCCCTTTCCCCCTTTCCCCCCTTTCTCTCTGCAGGCGCGCTGGTGGCGAGCGCAGGCACTGCGCTTCATGCTGCGCTGGCCCTCCCCGCACCTGTGCCACGCCACCAACCGCATGCGCCACTCCGCGTACGGGCTCCTGGTAGCAGACCGAGTGGCATCCGTTGCCCTGAAACAAGCCGAGCTGTTACAAGCACTCAACGCCTCTGCAGCTGCTGCAGCTGCTGCTACCGGCGGTGCTAGCAGCACTGTTCCTCCCGCCTCCTCCTCCTCCTCCTCGTCACCTTCTTCTCAAGACCCCTCCCAGCCTCCATCTGCCGATTTAGCAGATGATATTCGATTCCTCTCCTCCTCTCCCATCACCCCTCCTCCCTCCACCTCCTCCCCTTCTTCCTCCTCCCCTCTCGTCTCCCCTCCTCCCACTGCCGCTCCTCCCTACACTCCCGCCTCTCGCTCCCCACCATCCCTCACCTCGCACACCTGGCCACTGCAAGGCCTATCCGGCTGCAGCAGCAGCTGCAGCAGCAGCACCAACCCTCCACCACAACAACCACCAGCCACATGCACATGGGAGGAAAGCGCTCGGGTGTATCAAGAAGTGGGAGCATTGCCGTTCGTGCTACGGCCAGTGATCAGCATGCACGTGCGGCAGGGCGACAAGGGCATCGAGATGACTCTTCACTCCCTCGCCACCTTTGTGTTCTTCGCGTACCGCATGCGCCGCCACCGCCCTGACCTGCAGTACATCTGGCTGAGCAGTGAAATGGAGGTAAGGCGGTGACTTTAGAGTTGAATGAAAGGGCAGGAAAGGGCATGAAAGGGCATGGAAGGGCATGGAAGGGCATGAAAGGGCATGAAAGGGCATGGAAGGGCATGGAAGGGCATGAAAGGGCAGGAAAGGGCATGAAAGGGCATGGAAGGGCATGAAAGGGCATGAAAGGGCATGAAAGGGCATGAAAGGGCATGGAAGGGCATGAAAGGGCATGAAAGGGCATGGAAGGGCATGAAAGGGCATGAAAGGGCATGCAAGGGCATGAAAGGGCATGAAAGGGCATGAAAGGGCATGAAAGGGCATGAAAGGGCATGCAAGGGCATGAAAGGGCATGAAAGGGCATGCAAGGGCATGCAAGGGCATGAAAGGGCATGCAAGGGCATGAAAGGGCATGCAAGGGCATGAAAGGGCATGCAAGGGCATGAAGGGGCATGCAAGGGCATGAAAGGGCATGCAAGGGCATGAAAGGGCATGCAAGGGCATGAAAGGGCATGCAAGGGCATGAAAGGGCATGCAAGGGCATGCAAGGGCATGCAAGGGCATGCATCGCCACCAGCCTGACCTTCAAAACATCTGGCTCAGCAGCGAGATGGAGGTATGAAAGTGATACACACCTGTGTATGTTATTGTGTAATGTTTGTGTATTATTGTATGATTGTGTATGCAGCGTCTACAGTATGTGTGTAGGCCTGGCCTGGCTCAGCCGCAAGATGGAGGTGAGGTGACGTACGAAAGTGTTACATCCCCCTTTTCCCCCCTGCCCCCTTCTTCTTCCTTCTTCCCCCATCCCCCCTCCCGCCTCCCCACCAGTCGGTGACGGCAGTAGCAGAGACCTTCCCCGACTGGACCTTCCTACGCCACCAGCAACGGGGCAACCAACGCAAAACTCTTTGCACTCATTTGCCCCGCATTCCCCACCTCTACCTTCCCCTCCCCCCACTCCCCACCAGTCGGTAATGGCAGCAGCAGAGACCTTCCCCGACTGGACCTTCCTCTACGCCAGCAGCAACAGAGCAACAGACGTGGAGCAGATGAAGCAGCAGCAGTTCTCAGGCCAGCAGCCCATAGCTGAAATCTTTGCCAACTTGCTAATCACGTCTGAGAGCGATTATTTCATCGGCTCGCTGGGCTCCAATTGGAATAGGGTTATTGATGAATTGAGGTCCACTGGTGGGAAGCTTTTTGGAGGGCTGGTTACCCTGACGCATGGGGTTTAGGTTACGGTGCAGTGCACCGCAGTGGTGCCTTTTTGTTTTGTGGATGTTACAGTGGTATTGTGCCTTTTTGCTGTTGCCGCGAACAAGCAAGGTTTCATAAAGCCCGTAGCCCTAGTTACACAAGACTACCAAGGTTAAATTCGTCCATAACACATCAAACTCGGCAGTTTCCCCCCCCTCCCCCATTGTTTTTTTCGCCACATTCAACTGCTCCACATTTTCCCCCCTGGTGGGTGGGCTCACTACTCATGGCATGTCAAGAACACATACGGTACCACGACAATACCGTACAAATTACGACGATTATTCCTCCCTACTATGCACCAGTGTTATTACAAAAGAATTCTCGGTACACCTCGTCGAGCGACGGATCCGCGTCCCTCATGCGGCGCAGCAGCAGCTGCTGCGAGTCGCGCGTGCTGAGCTTCCACGGGTGCAGCGCGGGGATGCGCGTGGAGTAGGACGCGTTGACCTCGTCGCGCAGCGCATCCCAGAGGTAGACCGTGTCGTCCAGCACTGGGTCCCACTCGGAAAAGGGCTCCACGCACAGCAGCATGTTTCCCACAGCCACCTGGAGGAGAATAGGGAGCGGGATGGGGGAGAGAGGTCTTGAAAGTCATCCCAGAGGTAGACTGTGGCGTCTAGCACTGGGTCCCACTCGGAAAAGGGCTCCACGCACAGCAGCATGTTTCCCACAGCCACCTGGAGGAGAATAGGGAGCGGGATGGGGGAGAGAGGTCTTGAAAGTCATCCCAGAGGTAGACTGTGGCGTCTAGCACTGGGTCCGACTAGGAAAAGGGCTCCACGCACAGCAGCATGTTTCCCACAGCCACCTGGCTAGGAGGATGGAAACGGGTGGGAGGGGTGAGAGAGGGGGCGATGGGAATGGGAGGTCACACCTTGCTCCGCCTGAAACAAATACGGGGGCACACGGTCGAGGATCTCTACCTCACCGCATCTCACCTCGTCTCACCTCTGAGTACACCCGACTGAACGCAGGCAGCAGCTGGGTGGAGATGAGGGGAGCATGGCGCATGGGCACATACACCACGTCTGCGATCCGCTTGGTGTACATCCCCTTGTGCTCCGCAGTCGCCGCCTCAAACCGCGCGCGCAGGGGCAGCGACAGGCTATCCACTGCCGCCCGCACTTTTTCCCTTATTGGCGGGTTGTTGGTCCAATCGGACACGTTCGGGGTGAATGGGCCCGAGGGGGAGAGGGAGCTTTTGAGTCGACTCAAAAGCACGTTCGGGGTGAATGGGCCCGAGGGGGAGAGGGAGCTTTTGAGTCGACTCAAAAGCACGTTCGGGGTGAATGGGCCCGAGGGGGAGAGGGAGACCCAGCGGTAGGCGAGAGTGGGGTTGTTGGGGAACCAGATGCGCGACTGTGAGAGAGGAAAAGGAGGGATCTGGGAAAAACGTCTACGCGAATCATTATGTCTTGAGACGACTAAAGAAACGACTTGAATACAGACCACCATCATCAGCCGATAATGAGTATGTTTTTGAGTCGACTAAAAAACGGACTCATCACACACGAATACAGACCACCATCATCAGCCGATAATCACCATCCAAAGTTCATCCCCCCTTGCCCGCAACCCTCTTGCCGCCTCTACTCCATCCTTTCATCCCTCCCTCTCCCACAAACCCCTCCCTCCCCTCTCTGGACGGTCTTCTCCCCCTCTCCCCCTCTCCCCCTCTCCCCCTCTCCCCCTCTCCCCCTCTCCCCCTCTCCCCCTCTCCCCCTCTCCCCCTCTCCCCCTCTCCCCCTCTCTCCCTCTACCCCTCTACCCCTCTACCCCTCTACCCCTCTACCCCCCTCCCCCTCTCCCCCTCTACCCCTCTACCCCTCTCCCCCTCTCCCCCTCTTCCCCTCCGTTCCCCACTCCTCTCCCCTGTATCCCCTTCTGATTCCCAACCCCCCCCCTCCCCTCTCCCCCCACCCCCAAGCACCGTATTGGCACCGGCAAGGGTCCAGTAGTTGAGAATAACGTCGTCGTTGGACCAGAGCACGCCGGCAGCGGAGGGGTAGCGCTCAAACACGTCCGCCAGCGTGGCGTGCGCGAAATACCATGGCGTGTGCTCCCCACGCAGCTGGGTGGGAAGAGAGGTGGGAGACATGGGGGTTGGGTGATGGAGGGAGGAGGGAGACGGGGGAAGGGAGAAGGGTGGAGGGGGGAGGGAGAAGGGAGAAGGGTGGGGAGAAGGGGGGAGGGAGAAGGGGAGAGGTGTGGGAGATTCTGATTGCATGCTACTTGAGACGTTTCCACCTTCAGCCATGTAGACTTGAGACGTTTCTACGAGCGACGAGCAAGGATACATGATGAAGACACGCCACCCTCCAAAACGCCCTCTCTGTTGCGTAATGGATTCGAAAATACCACGACGTATGGACTAGAAGGCATCCCACCAGGAATCCCTGTAAAACAATGAACGCACGCACAATGCAAAGCGCACGTAAGGATCCATGCGTGCCACCCGGCGCCACCGCCAGCGCTGCTGCCCCTGTGGCACATAAGACTTATGCCACACGGGCAGCAGCGTTGGCAGTGGCGCCGGCAGCAGCAGCAGCAGCAGCAGCAGCTGCTGCGGCTGCGCTTTTCTGCGGCAGCACATCGCATGAGCAGCAGCACAGATTATTACAGCAACCCTACACGGCACATCAGTACAAAAACAGCTTGCAAGCTTCATCAGGAGTGAAGCGAGGCACCACCTGAGACATGACCCTGCCTTTTTGAGCAATACAGACGAAAACATCCCGTCTAACTCGCGTGCTATGCACCACATGAATCCAGTCGAGCTGACCTGCACGGCGCACACACCACTCCCATCCCAAACCTCCCTCACGCAAGGGTCAAGAGACGCCCATCAGTCAGTCTACCGAATAAAGAGCCTATGTCACATAGTGAGAGAATACGGTATTCTCTCACCGGCAAGACAGAAGTAGTGTTTTGAGACGTCTCAAGACGCCCATCAGTCAGTCTACCGAATAAAGAGCCTATGTATTCTCTCACCGGCAGAACGCCGAGCTCAGGGATTGCCTCGTCCGAGTAGACCACTACGTCGCGGAACACGCGCCCGTACACGCTCCGTAGCAGCGCCACGGACGAGTTCACGAGCGGCGCGCTATTGTACAGAATCGCCAGCACCACTCCGCGCAGCTGCTCGCGCCACAGGGTCAGGTTCGCGGGCTCGGGGGGGGGGGAAGGGTCGGGGGGGGCGCAGCAGAGCGGATCCCGGTGCGCGCAGGGCAGCGGGGGGCTGGGCGCGGCGTGGCAGGGGACGGCGACTGGGAAGAGCTGTGTCAGGGGTGGAAGAGGGGGAATGGGGGGAAGAGGGGGAAGGAGGGGAAGAGGGGGAAAAGGGGAAGGAGTAGTAGGAAAGTGGGGAGTAACGGAGGGGTGAGGAAGTGGGGACGGAGAACTAGAGTGGGGGAGGGGGCGACAGCGAAGGTCGGAGCGGGGGAGGAGGTGGGGCGGGCGTTGGGGAAGGGGGAAGAGGGGAGGGGAGGGGAGGGGAGGGGAGGCGACGGGAGGGGAGCGGCGGGGAGAGGAAGGAAACGAAGTGATACAAGCGGGTAAGGAGCAAGAGAAAGAGCGCGGCCTCACATACAACGGCGCCGCGACGCAGCAAACTTCGCAGCAACGACGCCCCACCTCTCGGAGAAGGTCGCAGTCGCGCGGCGGTCCGACGCGGAAGGCGAGCCCAAGGGAGAACACGGGGCCGCCCTGAAGGAGGAGGTATGAGATGAGGAGCACGAGAGTGACGCCGCAGCCCGCTGCCGCGCTGA